GAGCGAATCCTATAAATATGTAACCCATTTATAGAAAAAGAAGAATACCTTATTAAATAAAAAGGATACCCACTAAGCGAAAATACATAGGAACCTAAGGAAAACCTAGCCAATTATTAATAACGCATTTAAGATTTCCTTTTACAAATATCACCACTCAAATAACGCAGGATGTAATATACCTAGGAATCACCACCAGCTTAGGGACTAGCCTATAGGACGAACTAATCAATAACTTCCACACCAGCTAGAGTATTAGAATTTATTAAAGTAGCTACTTATACCAATTCCTCCTGCGCCTCTAATGCTTCTAACTTATTAATGGTATTCATTCCTTTATTAAATAATTCTTATTCCTTCTAACACAGCTTCTTTCTTTAATTACATAAGCGTACCATCTTCTTACGCTCTTAGCAAGTGCGTAATAAGGCCGCCTTAGTAAGCTCCTCTTTAACTTAGAGTTTCACTTCCAACTCAGCTTCTAACTTTTCTAATCTTTCTAATTCAGCGTCTATTTTCAAATAATCTAGTAGAGGAATTTCCTCTAGCTTATACTTTTAGTTTCCCTAGCGCACGCAGTTAGTGCAGTGGGAGTAAAGAGAAGAAAGATGGCATAGGAGCCCCTTCTTTACGTAATAAGAATAAGCGACTATAGTGTAGACACAGTCCTTCTCTAAGTAATCGGCTTGACGATGGCGAAAGCGGACGGAACGGGAAAGTGGCTTTATGGGTGGTTAACTCATGAGGACATTGAGCGCGGAGGGGGGAGATGATATTAAGATCCACAGCTCGGCTGCGGGGCACTCACTGCTTTTGGGGCCAAGGGGCTCCAGACCCTAACTCAGCCACATGTCACGTGACCCAAGTCACGGGTCCCAGGAGTACCAGGAAGGGCACGGACCCTCTGGGACTCCGGGACTCTGGGACTTTGGGACTCTGGGACTTTCTAGGACATGGGGTATATAGGAACTTGAGTATGAGCTCTCATACTCGTGTTCAACCTATTTATCAATCTATCATTTAGATTACACTTAGGCTATATTATTAACTCGTTATATCCTCCTCCAATACTATCATCTCAACAAAACCCCTTCCCTTCCCTCAGTTGTCTTGCCCGAGAACCAACCCTAACCCTTTAGGACTAGCTACCCTTCTGGATTTAACAGTTAAACACGAGTATAAGAGTACATACTTAAGTTCCTATATAGAGCGCGTGATAGACTTAATAGACGCTATCGGGTCTACGATAGATCTGATAGCATCTGTCACCTCTATTAGTCACGTGACCTCTAGGCGCTCGATACTAAGGTTGTCTCAGTTAGCGCCTAATGAGGATTACTACGATACATGTGAGATCCTAATTGGATCCTAACACCTTAAATTAGGGACGGGCTTTCATTTTGTACATACACTCCTTGTTGATAGAATCACTAATAAGTTATAGCATCCCAAGTTAAGTTATAGAACTCGGGTAAACCTGTGCTTAGTTAGAATTAGAATATGCAAATATATCTTATCTTGAGCAGATTTATAAGCCATTAATCGTTTAACAAGAATCCAATACATTAGAAGCTGGAGAAGAAAGTCGTGTTACACGAGACTAATGACTTTCTCATCCACATAAAAGAAGTGTGAGGCCGCTGGAATTACTTTTAATGCATAATTCATGCATTTTATATGTGGCTGTACACTCGCCCCTTGTGCTGCCAGCTCTCATTCCAACAATGCTTCGACGTCGTGCACTATAAAGCCATTGTTGCAATGAATACTATTCTATATTGGGGATGATTGTTACTGGCTTCATAGCTCAAATAGTCGCACTCTCAAGGTGTAAGTTACTTTATCAAACGAACTTGGTGCAAGTAGTCTGGCATCCTGGAAGTTTCATGATGCGCTTGAGAATCCACGATATCACATCGGTTGTTTCTGATGAATGTTGTTTATTTTGTGATACAGAGTTCGTGGAGCTAAGAAAAGGCTTTATGCTTCCAGAAAGCTGAGGCCCATGTGCTGTATAACCTCTGCTGGCATGTAAAGGCACTCATACGATTATGAAAGTCTCGGTCTCCGCCCCCTCGAACCAAGGAAAGGGAGCCTCGAACTTCCCGATCCGCTCGTAAATGTCCTTCTCTTCTTCTACTGCCTCAGAAGAACCATCAGATTTGGTTATAATGGTTTTTACCACCTCTTTTTGACGACGGCATGCAACCACCAAACCGTGGCAGGTATCTAAAGGGCCGTCCCACGAATTCCAATCGCGCAAGATCCCCACACACTTTACAACGTCATTGGGCAGGATTGGCGCAATCTTGGAGCCCTCGACTTCGTAGTCTAAGACAAAATCCATATATGCCTTCGTCTTCAACTCTTTATTCTGAAGCGCGAGTGTCACGTTCTGCTGCCGAAAACGGGTGGCATAGTCTGCGTTCTGGTCCGTTTCCTCGTACTTGACTCTCGCCGTGACCTGCTGGGCCTTCAGCGTCAACTGTGCGCAGCACCCTTTCCTAAGCAGATTAGCACTTCTCCAATCCATTAGTATCTCGTCTCCACCACTCAATTTGATCTGCATCTCTACAACCTCAGCCAGCTTGGTCAGCTCCAGTTTAGAGACCACACTCATCTCTGCTCCAGCCTTTACATAAAGTTCTCCATGAGATAGCCGTCTATAATCCCAAGATCCATTCACTGACGCCCATGACCATGAGGGAGCAGAGTCTGATTTTCGAATTGGGGGAAGGGGGACTACATCCTCAGTTGTGGGGAGAATATACCAGAGCATACACTCCTCGAGCCTATATTCCCAGAGGCCTGCACAATACCTCCCCATAGCCCGTGTTCCAGAGATTTTCTTAGCGATACCAGCGAAGCCTGGCAGCCGATCGCGGTGATACGTTATCTTGCGCCGTGCGTAGTGGTGCACAAGATAATCCCAAGTTTCGAGGATACCCGTAGGCCGGAAGGGGAGGAAAACTGACCAACCAGTCGAATACATTGACCACTGGTGCACGAGGCCTTGAAAGAGGTATTTGATGCCCATATAGTCCGTTTTATTCACCGTTTGCCTGACGTCGGTGTCAATATCTGAGCACTCGCACCGAATGTTTGCGAAACATTCAAACATCATTTCGTCTTCGCACATGTACAAGACTCGCTTTGCCAGGATACGTTCCTGGAACACCCATGCCCGCTGGAACAACGGTAGTTCATTTGAGGCATAACGCAGGTGGTCTCTGCTGTGGAATGGAGTTTGCAGACGTCGAGCGTTAACTCTCCTAGGCGCTCCATCAGGCGATTTTGCTGGCAAAAAGTATGTCTTGAATGCATTTCCCTTCGGTAGGCAGCCATAAGAGCTATCCCGAGCAGCCGCGGCGGCAATGGTAAGCCAGGAGTTGGCATATATCGAGGCCATCTTCTCTGACTCTCGCGCCCAGTCATCTTCGTTCCCTTGCAGGATGCATAAGGAGTCGATCCAAAGGTATTCGACGCCAAGTCCAGCGCATATTTGGATTGCATGCTGAAAAGTCAATGGTAATAGCTCCCACTGAATGCCGCCCTTTCTTTCACTCAGGTTATCAACCGTCGTGGTTAATAGCGGTTGTTCACCCCAGCAATGACTCAAAGCTATGTACCTACACCCCTCCTCCGGACTCTCTTGTAGATGAACCTTATAGACATCATCTTCGTGCTTGATATGCAAGAATCTGCCAGGCAACTTCAGAGTCCCAGCGTATTCTGAGCATATGGAATGCTTTTCACTGCATTCTTTCACCCAATCCTGAATGAGATTGAAGGCAGATCCGGAACCTGGCTCCGATACCAATTTTCGAGGTTTTATGGCCTTGCAATGGTCAAAGTCTACTGAAATCTTAGGTCTTGACGGCCATTAGTGGAACAGATGCGTACCCGACTGTAAGAAGAAGTGCAAGGCGTGAGCATGTTCTGCTCTGGATATTTGATTAAATTTGGAAGATGCATCTGTTTCGCTAACCATCTTCTCAACTTGGCTCAGCATGGCTTTTACATTGTCAACTATAGATCACAGAACGCAGCAATGGTCTTACTGAAGCTGTCCGAATTGAAAATCTGGAAATATTCCTCCTTGCCGTCTTTCCAGCGGATCTTAACACATTCTTCTAACAGCTCGATGTGGGACTCGGCTGCAGTAGCCTCAGGGATCTGCGTTGCGTATGCGGTCCGTGTGTGGACAGTTGTTAGATCAGAAATAACATCGAGAATGAGCTGGCAATAAGAGCAGCCGGACTTTGCTCTGTGTCCTATGTTGAGGAAACTTGGTTCTTCTTCAAAGTTTCGACAAATACAAGACGATGCTGGTGCCGCCATTATGATGCAATGAGGATACCAAGGGGTAAAGACAAGGTTAGAATTCTTAAGGGTACTCATTGATGTTTGCAAATTTGGACGGGAGCTGAAAACATAATATGGGCGTCAAATGAGGCGAAGCAATAGCCACTGGAGGAACGAGCCTATCAGCGCCGCTCTATATGACGGTGAGCAGCCATTATGTGGCTGTGTTGCTCCGCCCCTTTCGCTATTAACTGCAATCTCAATCAATCCCAAGATCTTTTAGCGAAGCATACTGAGGGGTCGTGCGACGTATTGGCTGTACTGCATTTTTAGCGTGGACGAGCGCTTTGTCTGTCTGAGACTCAAGAGCCAATTGAAAGGGGAAGGTCTCCCGGCCTTACAGCCGCTAGAGCAGGGGGGACGCAAATCTAGCAATCCCGGTGTTAGGATCCGAGATGGACAGTCATCCGGACCACACAAGTACTTAGCCACTTGACCCAGTGGTAAGTACGATACAGGTCACGTGATTGAATCAAAGTGATTAGTGCGCCAAGACCACTGATCACACTAAGCAACTCGCATACCCATATACTGTTCTATTGGCTGGCTGCCAGCGTGCGATACCTCTGAGATATACTACTGCCAGTAGTATATCCATGCTTGTTAGGTAGCCTGGGGTTACCGTGACAATAAGGTTAAATCTATTCT